GTAGGTGTCCAGGCACCGGATCGAAGCTAGGAGCATTGGGTTTAACTCCCTTTTTGTCAAGCCAACCACTGTGCCTCACTAAGAGGTTCCAAGTCCTTCAAGCTAGGGCTTTTTGGGGTGTTTTAGATTCATCCTTTCTATCTCTGTTTTTTTGTATAGACTGACTGTACATGTACTGTATTGTTCTAATAGGGATTAGGCCCCTTCCTGGATGATTGTATATGTATGTATATACTGTTTTGGTTCTGAATGTGAATATGTATGAAAAGTCCTTTTTTTGTATACAGACTGTCACAGCTCATTGGACATCTTTTATTACTATTTTGGCTTCCGCCAGCCCCTGTACTCTGTATTACTGTTATTACTGTTAAGAAGGCCTTTGGTAATCACGGATTACTGGCCGGTTACAGTGCTAAACCCATAGGGGCGGGTTTGGGTCGTGACATTTTTGGACCATGCTTTGGTCCCTCCATATTGATGTTCATGATGGCCTACCGGCCATGGACTTTTCCCTGCCAGCCACCAATAGGCCCTGTCGGCCAACAATGAGGCCCTGTCAGCCACCATTGATGGCCGGCCGACCACCATTATTTCAACAGATATTTTTCAAATATTTTTGAGCCAACTGTTTGCCGGATAGACCATCTGCACCCACATGGATGGCTGGATCTCTTCAAGGCTACTTGTATCTCCTATATATAGAGACCTTACTCTTGCATGCAAAGGGTTACAAAAATTTGGCTGAGATATTTCTCTCTCTCTCTCTCTCTAGAATCCTCTCTCTCTACATTTTAACCTTGAAAGTGAGTTTTTCTTGCATATTTGCACTAGCATCCTTAGCCAAACACTCTCATATTGGAGCTGAGGTCTCTTGAGGCTTGGTTTGAGGGCTCAAAGTTGGTTTTAGCTCAAGAAAGTTGCTGATTTGTTGTTGTGCTTCAAAGGTAATCACTTTACTCTCTTAAGCTTTGTTTTTCTACATTGTTGTGGCCAACCTTACATGTTGTTTTTGGACTGGTTGTCAACTACAAAATCCTCTATTTTTGATTGTTGAAAATGGTTGTTTGAGGCCCTTTTAGGATAAGGGGTGGTCCTCTCTCTTTTGTGGCTTATTGGCCAAGCTTTGTGCAATGTTTAAAAGCCTTTAAAAGTCTCTTTTTCGCCTTTTAACTACTGAAATCCAGGGGATTTTCAGTGGCAAAAACTTGGTTTTGAGGACAAAAATAGGAGGGGGTGATCCCCTCTCTTGTTTCTCCTTTGCATGTGTTGATGGCTTAGTAGATGAGCATGGTTTTCTACCATCTCTAGACTTGATCTAAGCATGTTTTTGTGACTTTTTTAACATGTTTTAGCTCTGTTTTTGGTTGGCTTGGTCACTTCTTGTTTACATCTTGCACTTGTAGTGCAAATCTTGCATACTAGCCTTGTATGCTTAATGTTTTAGCTCATCATTCTAGCTTGTGTTAATCTAACTTCAGGATGCTTTTACCACTGATTTTGCATGCTTTAACTCTGTGCTAAGTGGTTTTGGTCATATGAGACTTGTTATGCATGGTTGTAGTACAAAGACCCTTCCTAGCCTTGTGTTTTGAGGTCTCTAGCATGCTTTGCTTATGATGTTTGCATGACATAGCATCATTTCACATGTAATTTCAGAGCATGTCATTGTCACACTCTCACATATTTCACTCTCTAAGTGCTTTTGAGTGTTGAGCCTTATGCCTTGTTTGTGAGCCAATGCATGAACATGATTTTTCTTGCTTTTCATGCTACCATCTCAGCACATTTGGGTTACTGTTTTGGCATGTTTGAGGTCTATTTAGGGCTGGCTTGGCCATTTGAGCATTGTATTGCATAGGTCTAGTGTAAAGCACTTCACTAGCTTTGATGCTTAAACCTTTAAACATGCATATTATGGGTTATTTGCATGGTTTTAAGTTACTTAGCATGTCATTTCAATGCTGAAATGTATGCCATCACACTCCATGGTTTCAATCTTTCACTTGCCTTGAAAGTGATCTTAAGCCCCTTTTTGGCTTGGACATGTAATTGAGGTTCTCATGCCTGATGGTTTTAACCTTCTCTTGAGGGTTTCTACTAACCAACAACATGAGGCTTCTTTCATGCTTAAGGTGCTTGTGGCTAAGGCCATCTTTCCAATTAGAGGACTTTTCACATTGGACTTAACCAGTTAAAAGACTAATTGGTAATTTAAAATGTGTAAACAAGAATTGAATCAAGTAAAACATGCCAAGATAAGCATGTTGCATGTGTGCATTGCATTGTGTTCAATCAGACGTTATATTGAACAAAATAAGCCAATTCCATGATAAGGTAGTGGTCTTAGAGTCTTGTTTGTCTTGCATTTATTGAAATGCATGCAAGTTGGATCTTTGGCCATCATGCATTGCATGCTTGATTAATGGTTTTGGATCCAATAGTGCCTCTTCCTTGATGTTTTGAAATGATAAGGAGTGGCACAGTACAGACATGCCCTGGGAGACCCTCTATTTCCTCTGTTTTGTGCTCTGTTACAGTTTGGTGTCACAGCACACCAGTGGCCGACAGTGCCACACTGATGGCCAACACCCTTGCATTGTTGGGCGATGGAGGCCCACTCTTGGCCGGCAGATGGCTGGCAGTAACTCCTCATGGCCGGCAGGCCACTGGTGCACTCCCCAGCATTGGTTTGGTAAGTTTCAGCAGCAAGTTCTTGAAGACACCCTGCAAAGAGAGCCTCTAAAGAGCAAACCGGAAGGCTTTTCGGGGCAAGAAATCAAATGCGTGCATGCATGTTCAACATCTTCAAACAGAGCTGGGATAGCTTAGTTTAAAGCTTTATTTATTAATTAGCTTGAATTTGTGATTTAATTAATTAATTTGTTAATTAGTTAATTGTTGTAATAATTAGTAAGTAGTTTTCTAGTTATTCATTTTGTTGTGTAATAATTAGTCTAATTAGATCAATTAGATTAGTTAGCTTAGCTTAGCTTATTCAGACTCTCATTCGCGAGGGAAAAATGTTGTATTAAGGGTGCGTATGTGTGTGCATGTCTTCCAACCCCACTTCTTTCTCCCTTTTACTTATCAGCTTTTGATGGTTAGTTTAGGGAATATTTCAATTAGCATACCTTATGCTTGCACGCGTGCATCATTCATTTGTCTTACATGCACCGGGCTCGGCGCATCATTCAAACTGCTTCGTATTTCAATACCTAATTGAATACGTGTTTCACAGTATGTTATCAAGTGTTGCATTCATATGCCATTTTAGATAGCCAAGCCTATTTAGTTGCATTATTGCATGTGTTGCATTAGGCATCTTGTATAGTTAGGTCATGCATTGTTTTCTAACTAGTTTTCTATTTTAGCTCGGAGTACACTGTAAATGTTTATGCTTTAGCATACTTGCATGAGTGTGAGTGTTGCCATGACAACATGCTTGCCATAAGGCTACTTGCTTAAGTGATTAACTGCATGAATGCCTGTGGATGAAGGCTCGATTACTTGAATTGGAACAATTCGACGATTGTGAGTTTTAAGCCCACTTGAGGGTGGTAAATCTGCGCTTTAGCCTACTTACGAGCAGCACTTCCAAACCATTTTCAAATAATAAACATAAGTCATTTTTTTCCAACTTGAGTGATTTAGTCTATATTTGTATGCTGTGCGCATCACATAGTAATGCTAGATTAATAACCGGAATAAGAACACATGTGTTTTTAAAACAACATATCATGTTTAGTAGAGCCCGATCTTTAATCAGGCAAGCGGGGGTGCTCATTTCAGGACCTTCCCCTCTTGTACCCAAGTTCCCGAGCCGAGGCAGCTTTGGTGATGACGGACACGTGGCCTTTGGCACGAGTCAGGGTTTCCTAAATTTCCCAAAACAAAATATTTAGGTGGCGACTCTATAATCTGGAAAAACAGTCCAATTTTGGCATAATTTGATTTAAAATCTGATTTTCTAAAATGATTTGCTGGATTGGACTCTTTGGTGATTTATCAGTCTTACATTGCACTTTGTGAGATTAGATTCAGAACCGTGATAGGAGTCCAAACTGTAGTAGTATGACCAATTCACGCCTCTCCGAGAAGGGGGCGTGCAATGAAAATCGGGTCTACAGTTTCTGGCGACTCTACTAGGGATTTAAAGAACTTGACTCGAACTCATGATATGTTGTTTTATCTACACTTATGTGTTTCGTTGCATTGCATTTGCATTGGTGTGCCTAAGTCACAGTGTTTGCCATCTGCTATTCCTGAACGGTTTGCCGGAGGCTTGCTTGGAAAAGCGTGCCATAAGGCTGACCGGTTATGGGCTCTGCCATGATGGAAACACAAACCTTGGTTTTCCCGAGGCACCCTTCTTGACCAATCGACCTAGTTGCATATCGGAAGCCATAGAGACCATTCCAAACTAGGACAGGTTGCATACCCGAATATAAGTTGTTTGAAACTGCATGTGTGCATAGTGAAACCCTAGCTCCTGGCAAGATAGGATAGGGAAACCCTACCCCACCATAAGGGGGTTTTGGCTCTCACTTGCTTGCTACATGCTGTTAGGGTGTGTCTCTGCATGAATGCATGTATCAGTTTGCAAGTCTGGGTATCAGTTTGAGGACATTAGTATTTGGCGGCATCAGATTTGAGGTAGTGATTTGGGAGCAGAAATCAGTGTTGAGTCCAGATTGTCCAGCTTATGATTATCAACTGTGTGTTGTCATTATCTAAGCCGAAATGCTATCCGTTTTCTTATTGTTGTTTCTTTTTTTTGCTTTATTTTCCTTTTTGCAAGGTAGTATTGCATCATTGCTTCCAACGAGGCAGATACCCCCGAAGCACTCTAGACCTGGATTGGGAGAATTCATCGATCTGAGGATCTAGTTAACGGACAACCAGTGTTTGTTGCATTACCCCCAGTTACGAGACGGAGGTCATCCAGGCATAGTTCATCAGTACAGCGATTACCAGATCAACAGTCATTATCTACCTCACCTATGCGCAGTTGGGCTGAGATATCTACTTCTGCCTTAGAGAGGGAATACATACATGTTCAGTCAGATCAGCACTTTATAGTCAGTTTGAAGGACATGATGCGTCAACTCCAAGAGACCATGCAGGCTATACAGCGGGATACTGCTCGCCAAGCAGAGGTTACCCCACGTCAAGCAGAGGTTGTAACCCAACAGGCAGAATTGATTGCCAGGCTCCAACAACAGCAGCAACCACAACAAGCTGGAGCATCTGCTCCGCATCCACCCCCACTCCCACCCCCACCTAGGGTTCCAATACTAGGGGAAACAGCAAACGTCCAGGAAAATACGAACGTTCCAACAGGGCCAGTCCCACCGCCAATCCCACCTCAGATGTCTAAAGCACCGGCTAATCCAGTGGACACGCCATTCAAATTTGAGGTTGATCCAACCGCGCTGAAAGTGAGTAAGCTTGAAAAGCTATGCAAGCGAGCCTAGGGAGTTAACTCGATCCCGAATATAGAAGATGGATACACTTATTCGGCGGTGACATTGCCGGACAGGTTCAAAATGCCTCACATAGATCGCTTTGGTGGCTCGGGCAATCCTATGGTTCATTTGAGGCTGTTTTCTGATATTTTATGCCCGATGGGCTTGACGAGACTCCATAAACTATCACTCTTTGGTCGGACCCTGTCGGGTATTGCGGCCATTTGGTATGCCAAGCTGGAGGACTTAGTGAAAAGGAGTTGGGACGAGATGGCTGAGGCCTTTGTTGCCCAATATTCATACAATACCTAGATCAAGGTCACGACTCATGATCTTAAGGCGACCCGGTAGGAGTTGAAGGAAGACTTTTCTGACTTTGTTACTCGATGGAGGGCCAAGGCCTCCGTAATGATAACTCGACCACTTGAGAAAGATCAGATAAGAATGGTTGCGAGCAACCTACAGCTAAAGCTGATGCAGGAAATGATCGTCTTACCCCTCCCCACCTTTGCTGACTTGCACGAGATTGGGGTACAGATTGAAGATGCTATGAAGCATGGTCTAATCGACCAGGAAAAGAACCAGCCCAAGAGGGCGTTTACACGCGGTTCGAATGCAGCTACAAGTAGTAGTGCAGCCGCAAGAACTTCTGACGTCAGCATGGTCACCACCACTCTAAAAATAGCCGCCCCATTTGCTGGTACATCCAACCCAAACCGCCAGACTTTGAACTATCCACCTTGAGGCAAGAGGGTTTTTACCCCACTTTATATGCCTTTGTCTAAAGCTCTAGGGGTCCTACTCAGGAAAAGACATCTCAAACCGTTAGAACAACGGCCTCTACCCGATCCTCTCCCTCCAAAGCATGACCTGACTAAATACTGTGCCTTCCGTCAGCAATGAGGTCACGACACCAACTTCTACTTTAGACTACGTCATGAGATTCAAGATCTCATTGACAACAAGGTGATCGCGCCTCCCGACAAGCCAAATGTCACTACCAACCCACTCCCACCACATAACCAAGCTTTGTCACCCAAGCAAATCAACCTGATCCAAACCACGACCATCCCATAAGACCCTAGCATATACATCACACCTTTCCACCTGCCTAAGCCTGAGGTGTTCATCCCAGATAGCACGGATTTGTGCATGATGAGCACCTCTCTAACCCAGCCCAAGCCAATGGTGGTGGCTATTGAAAATAGAACTAGGGTGGCCTTGGAGGAGAATGGGAATGTTGGTTCAGAACCTGATGGATCTGGGAGCTTTATTAAGGAAGCATACAACCCGTGTGGTTATATTGTGCCAACAGATCAAGCTAAGTCAAGGGTAGAGTTGCCAACTGGGGCAGAGATCGATGCGGTCCGGAAGGACGGACCGAGTTAGGGGCTAGATGACCTAGTAGAGTTGGAGGAGGACATTGCCAATCTGCAGTTCTTTAACGAGCAGGATCCAGGAGATGTGAGCATCAATTGGTTTGACCTGAATGAATTGACAGACAATGCGGGGTGGCTCAGTGACGAGCCAGATGTTGTTGAGGAGCATCAATCAGAATAAGGACCATCAGAAATGGGAACATCTGCAGTGGCCGGAATGGCCGAGAATTAGGAGGAATCGCTGGAGAGCACCGGTGCGAAGAATTTTGCTTAGGACTTGGGCAGTTTGTGCGTAGCAGACACAGAATAGGAGAACGCGCTGCGACAGTTTGAACAAGAGAAAATTGAGAATGATGACAGGGCTAGAAAAGCCCAAGGCACCTGAGGGGGCAAAGTGTGCTATGAGCACAGAAACAACTACAGCAAAACCGGACAGTTGTCTGTCGGTTGCTGAGGGCATGTGGTGGGAAGACAACGATTTGCGTCTAACCCATACTGATGAAGACTGGGGACAAAACCTCCCAGATGACACCTGGTATATTGAAGAGGTCGACCATATGACTCGGAGTGGGCAGTACTTTAAGCCCCCACATTTGGACCAGCCGGAGGCATCAGGGAAAGAAGCTAAGAAGCAGAATGACAAGCTATTAGAGGAGGAAGCTGTACTGAAGCAGCTAAAGAAAATTCAAGCAGACATCTCTATTTGGGGACTGCTTATGGCCTCGAGGCTGCATAGACAGGTCGTCCTTTCAGCTATGGATAGGGCCAAGCTTTCAATTTATGCAACGTCGGAGCAGTTGCTGGGGTTGGTTTTCCCAAGTGGTGCTTCGCCGACTCTAACCTTCACAGACAAAGAACTACTGCCTGGGGGCTCCGATCATAACAAGCCGTTGTATATCTCTGTGGAGTGTAGAGAAAAATGGATACCGGTGGTTCTGGTTGATACGGGATCTGCAATCAATGTATGTCCGTCGTGAACGGCATATGCTATCGGGTTGAAGCCTGCAGATTTCGCACCAACAACCCAGGTGATACGGGCATACGACAACACCAGTCGGGAGGTGATGGGGATGGTACGGATTAAAACTCAGGTTGGCCCGGGGTAGAAGGACATCGAGTTTCATGTCTTTGATGTTCCAACCACCTTCAATCTACTCCTCGAGCGGCTGTGGCTGCACTAGGTGAGAGTCGTCTCTTCCACTTTACACTAGATGCTGAAGTACTACCATGGAAAGAGGGTGGCAATTGTTTTTGGGAACTCTTCAATACATCCGCTGCCAGAGGTTTCTACACCAACTCTGGAAATTGAGCATGGCGTGGAGGATGTCTTCCTGTCTAGGTTCACCTTGACTAAGGCTCGGGTAGTATAAGATCTGCTAGCTGTTGATGAGGGGCTGTATGTCAGTGCTCAATTTGTTTGCCTCATGAACAAGCTTTAACATGTGCCTAGGATAGGATTAGGAAGGAGTGGCCAGAAAGGCGTCGCTACATTGGCCAAAGTGCCACACAACCTGTATACCTTTAGTTTAGGTTACTCACCTACCAAGGAGGATTGGGCAAGGAAAAGAAGGGAGATAGCTGGAAGAGCCAGGGCTAAACAAGCCAAAAAGCACTATGAGTTAGCGCATAGACCTATCCAAGGGACCTAAACGAACACTTTGTCCGGGAGATGGAAGATTTCCCATTTTGTGGCTTTCCAGAGCCATGGCTAAATGCAGAGAGGCAGCGCTTGCCAGGTTTTGAGATCTTTTCTGACCTTTAGTTACCTAGGGATGAAGTTGCGGAAAAGCAGACTGACCCACCAGTTGAGACTGAGCAGTGCAAGGAGGATGAGTCCGAGGGCACAAAATTGGAATTTGGGGTAGCGCTGGCTTGTCTCCTCTTAGATCCTCAGATTACACCGGAGTGCTTATGGGGTGATTTCTCAGTTTCCATGATTGGAGATAACTCGGCTGTGAGCCCATTTTCTGGCATTCTGGATGCATCCATCGCACCCTCCCTCGTCTAGAAATACGAAGAAGGCTCTTCATCTAGCGGTTCTGGGTCTGGTAGCGAACCGGAATCTGATTCTACAGAGTTTGTGGAGTCGGAATCAGATTCCAGTTCTTCTGAGTCAGAGTCTGGTATTCCTGAGGGTGATAACCCGGATGCCACTATCCTGTCCAGGTCGTCATTTTCATTTTCTTTTGAGTGAGTTGTAACCGAAGAATCAGACGAGCTGGAAGTTAATGAGAATGGTACTTCTGTGGCTTTTGAGTACTTTTACGCGCCTTTAGTTTATTGCATTAATCAGGACTTTCAAATTTTGATGAAAACGACAAGGAAGAAATTCATTCGGTTTTGAAGCATTTGATTGACCGAGAGCATGAGAGGTTTGTAAACCTTTGGTTGATGAAAACACCTCAATTAATGTTGGTACTAAAAAGGATCCATGGCTGGTCCAAATCGGGTCCACGTTGTCTTCGAAGGAACGCAAGCGCTTAGTCACTTTTTTAAAAGATTTCAAAGATGTTTTCACGTGGTCCTATGAAGACATGCCTGGAATCGATCCTGAGATTGTACAGCACCAGAACCCTCTTGACCCAGAGGCCCGACCTATTAAGCAGAAGCTCCAAAGGATCCGCCCAGGTTGGGCTCTGAAAATCATAGAAGAGGTCACCAAGCAGATTGATGCAGGGTTCCTGTTAGTATCTGAATACCCTACTTGGTTGGCCAATATAGTTCTGGTGCTGAAGAGGGACGGCATAATTCGAGTATGTATGGACTTCAGAGATCTAAACAAAGCTAGTCCAAAGGACGACTTTCCTCTACTGCAAATCGACGAATTGGTGGACTTCACTACGGGGCATGCGCTACTCTCATTTATGGATGGGTTTTCAGGCTACAACCAGATTTTGATGGCACCCAAAGGCAGGGAGAAGACTGTTTTCACTACCCTGTGGGGAACCTACTACTATAGGGTGATGCCGTTCGGTTTGAAGAATGCAGGGGCTACGTATCAATGGGCTGCGGCTACGATCTTGCACGATATGATCCATAAAGAGGTTGAGGTGCATGTGGACGACATGATTGTCAAGTCCAAGGAAAGATAGGGCCACTACACCGCCTTGAAGAAAATTTTCCAACGGATCAGAGAGTATTAGTTGTGGCTGAACCCTCAGAAATGTACTTTTAGTGTTACAGCAGGGAAAATGCTGGGGTTCTTGAGCACACAAAGAGGTATCGAGGTATCGAGGTCGATCCTTCCAAGATTAAGGTGTAGATCGCCCGAACTTCGCTCCATGTCCCCCCCCCTTTCGGAGAGGGCGCGAATTGTAGTTCTATCTACTACGGTTCAGACTCATGTCACGGTTCTGAATCTAATCTCACAAAGTGCAATGTAAGACTGATAAATCATCAAAGAGTCCAAATCTGGCAAATCGTTTTGGAAAATCGATTTTAATCAAAAAAACACCAAACATGAACTGCTTTGCCAGATTTCAGAGTCGCCATCTAAATATTTTATTTTGAAAAATTTAGGAAACCCTGACTCGTGCCTAAGGCCACATGTCCGTCATCACCAAAGTTGCCTCGGCTCGGGAACTTAGGTACGAGGGAGGAAGGTCATGAAATGTGCACCCCCGCTCGCCC